TTGTTGCTACAAACTAACAGCTTAGAGCTTCTTGTTCGCTCCAGAACATCCGCAGAAGCTTGTAGTCACCCGAAACCCTCCTCTTGGAGACATCAATGGCAGTGCATGGGCGCCAGCAGTTTGTTGTCCAGGTTGAATTGAGTGAAAGTGTTTTTGCCCACATTTTGGGCGCCCAAACAAGGAGAGGCTCTCGCATGGAATTTGCTCCTGGGGTTAAAGCGCAAGACGATTTGCTGTCGATGGTTCGAACACAAGCACTTGGTCTCCGCAGAAAGGCAATCTCACAACACAACAGAGCAATCAAAACAAATGCAAATAAAACAAGTTTCTTTTGGTGGCATCCTTAGCATTTTCTGCTGCAGCCCTTTCGCAGGCACCAGTTGAAGGCACAAGTTCGACCTCTTGTTTTGGTCAAGTGTCTTGCGGGTAGGATCTTTTTGCAAACTTTGCACTTCCTGTTTGAACGCCCAAAAGGACGGATGCCCGTCAAACGCTCCAACGGCACGTGCCGTGTCCTCCGTGGGAACTTCGCCTGGCCAGTTTCGGGACGAGGACCGGTCCAGTTTGACGGAAGGTGGAAATAGACCCGTCTACACAGCCAGGGGTCAGGTCTCCCGAAGAAGAAAGCGCACACCCAAAGGAACGAACAGGTGAAACACCTGCTTGCTTGAGTGGCTCAAAGAATCTTCTGCTGGGCACACCACTCCAGAGCATGTCAGTGATGTCTGAAAAGGGAAACTATATACCACGTCTACTCACTAGTTTCAACGCCGCTGAAGTGGTGGTTTATACAAATGGTTGCCGAAAAATTGGCTGTCTTTGGAAGTTGCCCTTGGAATTCTGCGGAGGAACAAACCCTCTTGCCCTTGAGGCTGGTGCGTTATGATCGCTCTTGAAAAAAGGGAATCTGTTCGGTTCGAGCCTGAAAGACATGTTGCCAATACCCCAAAATCATCCTGAGGCAAACCGAGTGTGAAAAATGTCGAAAACAGCCATGGTCGGATTGCTCTTGGAGCACCTCCAATTCCGTCTACTTGAGGATCACAATATCTTCCATCTACGCACAGTATGTATAAAACTCAGCGACCATTCCGACGTGGAGCACACCATGGGGAACAACTAGGTGACTTGGAATCAAGTAGGTCACTCAGCATGTTTTTCAGTTTTTCAGGTCGACGGTCGTCTTGCAAAACATTTGTTGCTTTCTTTCTGGGAGGAGATTGGATGATGGATAGATCTCTTCTCAAAAAGAGATCCCTCCCTCATTTGTCAATTAGAGACAATGCCGGATACCGATCCTGGATACTCTTTTCTAAAAATGTCGTTGTTTTGTTTTTCGATCCACTTCGAGCTTCGGTCTCTGAAAGCTCGCTCCAACCGCGCGTCGCGCGTCGCTCCACTAGTCGCTCGCCTGCCGAGCGTGTGCTCGGGCGCGTGCTCAATCCCCTGAAGCGCTTCAAGGTCAGAAGTGGCAAAAAAAAATGGACGAAGAGGACCGAGACGTAGCCTCTCGCCGTCGCCTCTTTGGAAAGACTACGTTTTACAGGGCTCAAGGAGGCACGGCTGTGCTTCCTCACTTTCCCTTTACCATGCACAAATGAATCTCAGCGATCACCTCCCACTTCCCTGGGGCACCAGGCAGGACAGAAGGCCCCTGGCCACAAATCGTCCGATCAGTTCGTAGCGACATGAACCGCCCCGCGATTTTGGACCACGGGGTGACGATGGAGAAAGGTGGACGCCTCACGGTTCCATCCTATTTCCTTCCCAAAGATTTGGGGGGGTTGGAAGGTTTTTCCCATCTGGCCATGTCTGGCCATGTCATACTATGCCGTGCAATATTCTTCAATCATGCTGGGTCTAAACGAAGCAAGTCGTGTGCAGGGATTGAAATTCAGTTGCAAGTGATGTATTCTGGAAGTTTCTTGTGAAAGTTTCAGAAAGACCCACGTGAAAATGAGCACCATTCTCACATCTTTGACTCAAAAGCAACTTGTGGAATGGGCGATCGGGTCCCACCTCGAGACGACAACGAGACGAGCGGCAACACGAGCGGCGATGCGACGATGAGCCCAAAGCGAGCGGACGACGTGCCCGTGCCCGGCCTGGCTCTCAGGATGGTTAGTCCACTCCGGCTCGTCCCCCTCACAAGACGGTTGTCACACCCATCACTGACACAAGTCTGGTGACAAGCAAGGTCCATTGATTTTTTGGGTGAGGGAATTCTGTTTAGACATGTTTTCCTGGTGAATCTGTTTGGAAATGAGTTCCCTAAGATGTTCCTAACAACTCTTTGGTGCCCTCATCATCCTCTACAATCGACACCGCCGCAGTCTAAGCACACCGCAGAGAGACGGGGCCTGCGCAAACGCCCGGACGCAAGCGTGGATGTGTTTCACTTAGCTGCGGTGAACAAACCCTGCAAGGAAAAGGGTTGACCTTGTGAAACAGAGCTTATGTGGTCTCCAACCAAGTGTTTTGAGACGCTGCCAAGAGCAGTGCAAAAGAGTCTGAATTTGGTGATGAATAAGACCCGACATGTCTTCTGCAAACAAAGTAGTTAAAAACGTGTGAAACAGATCTCTACAATCATTACACTGCCAAATAGACTCCGAGGATGTGCCAAGGAAGGTTCCTCTCAAAACAATACCGTCATGACTGGTGATAATTTGTTGCAGCAACTGTGGTGAATCCGTCAACAATCCATGTTTGTTGGAATATCACTTTGGTAAAGGCATGTGTTCATGCTCGGATTCTCGCCGTCTTCAACACCCACACCGCCTCTCGTAGCGGCCAGTGGATTTCAGACTCATCCGAGGCTCATGAGCCCCGCCGCGGGACGAGAACAGGGGATGTTTGGAAAAGCTGGCGGTGGGGGTGGTGGTGTTGCCGTGTGAAACTCTCCCACTGATGCATAAGGGATCTGTCTAGTGAATTTTCGAGGCTGACGATACATTGTCACATTGATTGCACATGGCACTTGAGAGCTGAACCCAAAATTAGAACGCTTTGCAGTTGAAGCTCTTAAATCTGCTTGTGGAAACTTCACTTCTTGCCATGCTCAGCATCCTTTGATGTCTAGACCGCGGCCAAACGTGTCCATGAGGTGGAAAACACTGGGATGTGATTGGAGGGGAAGAGGTGTGCGCGTGCCTGTCGCCACGCGCGATTCTCCACCACAGCCACATGGTTTGAGATGCGTTCTTATGCTCTGGTGTTTTTGGCCTGCTTGTGCCTGCTTGCCGCTTCAATCAAGTGAAACGACAGACGGGTTGGGCGAACTATGGCCCCAGCCTCCGCGGCTCAACTTTCAGGCAGCAACGCCAGCTGCTGCCGGAAAAGAGCGCGGACGACCTTTGTCGCTGGGCAGGCTTGCGTGAAGAGGTTCCAGGATACCTTTTGCGCGCATTCTGGCTTTCTATGTATGGCTGGCGCTGGGCTGCTGGACTTTGCCGCGGACAACGCACGCCCGGTCACGCTGCGCGCTTAAGTCCTGCGAGCTCACGCCCTGCCATGGCTTGTCGCTTGAAGCAAGCAAATCTAGCTGTATATGCTTGGGTAGCCCAAGGATGGCAGCAGAAGTTAGGAGGTGTGGGGTTCGCTCAGCAAGGCCGCTCTCGGTTTTCCCGACCAAAAAGCATGCTGTCAAACAACTGATTGTGACAAATGTGCACGCTCAGCGCTTCGAGGCGCAAGCTCTTTGTTTCGCACAACTGCACGGCGAATTGATTGCAAAGCAGGCCCACGAATTAGCAAAATCTTCAAGTGAAGCCGCTGCTGCCCATTTCAACTTCGCGAAAATATATCAGGCCCGACACGCCATGAACATCAAAGGTCAAAACCACGTGTGAGTCAGTGAGCTCATCAGGTTCATCGTCAAAACGAACAGGAAACCAGTGGACCGACCACGCACCCTCACCCAAAACTGCTGTGGCCAAGTCGACATCGGGATCCGGGTGGTTGAGATCTGTGATCGCTTCCAGAAAGTTCTCATTCATGCCGCGCTTCCTTAAGATGCGCTGTAGAACTGCTGGGCTTGGCGGAAGGTCATCGCGCCCAATCACGCGTCGCCACCAAGCCTCTGTCAAACGACAGCGCTTTCGCCATCCAAGTATGTACACGCGCACAATCACATCCCCAAGAACACCAGGACATTCAAGGATGCACTCATGTAGACGAAGGAGTGGGATAGCGACAAGGTTCCAGATCAAGTGCGCCGCGTGTAAGAACTTCCGCGCTGGTGAAGCCGATGATGGAGTCGGCAGCGCAGTCTGCAGCAGAGGACACGTTGGGCAGCCCAAATGTTCCACCACTGCGGCCGCTGCGTCCTCCACACTAGCCAGAGTCTGCGGTGGGGTGAAATACGCAGATGCGCGGCAGCAGCGAGCTTGGGTGGGAAGGTCCAAGAACTCCAGCATAACAGCGACCACATCCGGCTGCGCAGCCATGGACATAACAGCGGAGGCTTTGGGTTGCCTGACACTTAAAAGGTACTGTTGAGGAAAGTTGCACATGAGTCAGATGTCCCTAGATTCTAGAAAGGTTATTGGCTAGATATAGGGCCTGGAAAATATTGGCTGTTGGAAGATCCATCTTCAATACTCAACAAAGTCTTGAGCTTCCGATGCGTTGATTTCGCTCTTTCCCTGTTCTCTGGACGATGCCTTTGAGCATCCCATGAACTCAGCTTCGGAAGGAACCTGCCTGAATCTTTAGAAGCAAGTTTAGATGAGGACAAGAAAGAGACATTGTGGCCCTTGAGGATTGAACCCTCCGCGCGTCCCACCCTTCGTGGCCATTTTCCATTTCCATCGGTCAGAATCCTTTCAGTGCCCCCACTGCCCCTTGACTCCGACCAGGGCTCATAGTCTCACTCTCCCCACAGCTGGTTCTCAGAGGACCAACATTCCACGATGTGCAAAATGTGCAAAGCAAATTCTAAAGCAACACCTCGAGAAAAGTGCGAACTGCTGTTCTTTCCAACTATGACAGGCAAACAGTCGAACCAGCAGCCATGAGTGACTGTCAATGCCCACGCTCAGAAAAAAAACAGCCGCACTCCACCTTGAAATGCTGGCCAACCCACGGGTTCAAACTCAATCGAAGGTGGGCGGATCAAACACAAGTGCGAATTTTGTGGAGTCCCTTTAGCCCCGACAAAGGTCATCAACTAAAACATTCTTCAGCAAAGTCTCGTTTGCTAAAACGGGTCAGTCATTCATTTCTTGCTCGATTTGTCGGGGACCGTTGACTTCCTCCAGTCAACTAGCACTAGAAGACAGCTGTTCCTCTCAAGACTCTTGGCTCAAGTTTCAACTTGCGCGCTAAAGTTTGCCCAAAACCCCAATCCTGGGATGGGTGTGAAACTCTTCAAAAGCCGCAGTGTCTTGCCATCTTGCCTCGGCAGTAACTTCACCTATGCCCAACCCATGGTCCGTGCTGCGTGGCCCTGTCCTGCCTGCGCCTAGGCCTTCTTACACTCCTCACCCTGTCAGACAGGTGCTGCGCAGAGGAGCGAAATGGACCCTCTCAACCTGGGATAGAGACCTAACGCTTCGTCCAAAAGGAAGCCTGGACTAGACATCCAGGAAAATATCATTCAAATAAACACATTCTTTAAAATGTGTTCATCTATCCGAAATTGCTTTACTTGGTGATGACTCTTAAAACAATATGAGATTTGACTTGGCAAATCTTTGTGGTGTCATCTTACTTCTCGTGAAATCCACTTCTATCACCCCTTTTGGGGGAGCTGAGCTGGCATATTTCTTGGATAGTACATCCCAAAAAAGAGCTTGGTCTTTTTTAAGCAAGACTGGGTCTGTCTCCAGCCTGCGAACGTGGCTCAAAGGAACCGACAGGCTATCCACGCGTTGCAAATTGATCGGGTTCCATTGTCAGACTTGTTCAGAACCAAAACCTGCTGGTTCAAGCCCTTGGCTCAGTAGAGAACTATTACTATGACAATGATTAGCCATCATTCTTGTGATGGTTTCTCTAAATCCAGTTTACTTTGTCGTACTTCACGGATCAGTGGTCTTCATCATCGAGCAGTATATTTAAAGGTAAGTATATAAACTAGGCTTAGTCTAAAAGACTTAATGCTCCCCTGCCTGCATACCATCATGTTACTTTTCCAGATTTCAAACGAAGGAAGACTGTCTCGTCTGCACGTTGCAAAGGATCTCAGCTTTCTGGTCGTGTCCATGACTCAATCTGCATCCCAAGAACGGCCACCAAACGAGACTCGAACTGCATGATCTTTCACAAACCTACCTATCAGGACTGTTTTGGACTGTCCACCCTTCATAAACTCCAGTCTTTTCTGCCGGACTGCGGACCTTCTCAAGGTCTTCTGCCATGGGTTGCAGCTTGGGCCGCACACAGCGTGGAGGAGTCAAATCCATCCCGAGCTTCGACTGAGCAGCGTCCGGACAGTGAAAGCGCGACGCGACGCATCGTCGAGCCGCAACTCCGGAGGCGACACCCAATTGGTGATGTCGGGCTGGAAAGTGGTGGGTAGCAGTCCTGGTTTTCGTGTCAGGTTCAAACAAATCTAGCCTGGCATGCTAGGCCTGGTGGCTGAGACTATCGCTCCAATCAGGATGAAGACCAAGGATGGCCTACAAAAAACCTGGCAACAAAGGCTCAAGAGGAAAATGCTTGAAAAAGATCAACAGCACCAGGCTCATCCCGAGGCACGAGGCTGTGAAAAGGAAGTGGTCACGGAGTTAGGCCGCCCCCAACGCTTTTTAACAAGTGGGAAGCAGCAAAGCCTTGAAGGAAGGCGCCCAAGGAATAGATCCTGTTCCTCTTGACCGAAGGGTTGCCCGGACTGCCACACATTCCCTGGTCACCTGAGAAACCATCACAGAGCAGTCCAGCACCAAGCAATTAGTCACATCTTTCGTCACATCTCGCACGACTCCTGGCCATTCGTCATCCACCAAACCTCCTTTTCTCTTGGACCCAAACCGATTCGACGAAGTTTGAAGCCTTCGGCTTCGCCGGGATCCCCGGCCGGACGGCGCACGGGAGTGCTGGGAGCTGCAGTTCCCACCTCCTGGCCGAAGATCGGAAACATGACGGGGATGGCGTGAGAGCTAAAGAGCCAAGAGCTATCATCTGTAGAGCTACATCCCGAAACGGACACGAACCCGTGCTCTACCACTCAGCCACGACATGCAGCTATCCTCCCTTTCTCAAATCCTCTAGAGTCGACAATGTACAAGTGTTGGGCAGCTGATGATGTTTCCTGTGCCCTCTGGAAGGAGGCCGAATCTTTCTGAACATGAAGGCACCTGATGCTGACAATGCCTTTCAACTGCTAAGCCAAATCAGCATCATTACAATATATTGAACCGCACTTCTTTCATCTTCTTTCCAAACCAAGTCATACACACAAAATGGTTGGTTCTAGCCCATGTCTTTCAGCGTTTCCCAGAAAAATATAGAGCACATCGCCCATGGATGAATCTTCCACAGGAGAGTCCCTCGCCTCTGGAGTTCCTTTCAGATGCCCCGCGAACTTGACGGCCAAGGCCTCGTGTCGCACGGGTTACGGAACACGTCTCGCCCGAAATGAACACGAGTTTGGAGGGACGATTCGTCGGTGTTGCTGAAAGTGATGTCGCCCATCCGCCAAACCAGGATGCGACCCAAACCAAGGGACGTTCCGATTTAATGATCTTGCTAAGGTCCGGGCAAAAGAAAACAACTGCAGTTTGCAAGTCAATGGACCATAATACAGTTCTCTTCTCTGGGTGATCCTTTGCACGCTTGAAAAAGACTTAAACACAAAAACAAGAGGAGAAGAGAGTCTAATAAGCAATGGACCAACACCCAACAGGAACACCAGAATGCAATCCTTGTAGGGTTTCGGAAAGCCCATACCTTCTTCCCCTCTATTTGTGCCCAAACGAGATCTGTTCAAACGCAGCCGTGCTGAGCCCGGCCTCGTCGGCAAAGGTCGCCATCACCTGTGGAGGAGGTGACGTGCACCACGTGCACCGCACCGCGTCCTTTTGGCGCTGAGGAAGTACTTCTCAGTTCGGTGGACTTCCCAATTCAACGGCCTATGGCATCAATTCAGTGCACGAGAGGGTGTCTCGGTCTTGGGAAGAGAAAGTGTGGCACATGCCACGGCAAAAAGGTAGGAATGACTTCTGTGAGTTGGGGATCAAGGCGAATCGTCGCTGGCATCCGTTCTTCCGTTCTTCGGGAGTTGATGAAAGCTCCAGCGGATTGAAGGGGTCCCAGGAATTGTTCCAGCACAACATCCACCGTTTTCGCAAGATGCTTCTGGCCCCTGTTTGACCCATTTAACGCTAGGAAAGCATCAGATGAACTCACTCGATGGAGGGTTCGTTACAGGCGTCAATTCTGCATGATGAGAACCCATATATGTCATAGCAAGGCAGCAAGGTCGATGTCCACATTCGTAAAACCTTTTCCATGGCTAAGGCCTTTGCTGCACAGCATCCTGACCCACTTCTGCACTGTTAGCAGATATCACAAAGACCTACCAAAACATCCAAAGCCATCAGCTCATCGGCCTAGCCTTGGCCCCAACGGCACAAGTCTTGCCTTCCACCTGCACCTGGCACCAAAATGAAAAACTTGATGGTCCAGTCCAATCAATGTAGAGAATCGTGTTCACGCCAATCCAGCAGCCTCAGCTGCCTTGGATGATGTTCTGCTTCTGTGATGTTGATGATGCACACATGATTGAAAACATCGTCAACATCATCACAATTATTGTTCCAGGCGGCATGTTTTCAGGACTCTAAAACTTGTTGTGTACGTGATCCTTCCATCCATGGCCCCTCCCAATGCCAGCCTGGAGATCAAAGACATCAGAGACCTTGGCATGAGGCAACGTGAAGCAGGTGAAGCGTTAGGAACTTCAACGGAGGGGGCAAGAGCATCCTCCATGAACAAGCATCACCAATCTAGCTGCCTCGCGAATCAGTTTCCTTCATATATAACCGTTCATCTTTCCACCTCTGGGTGCTTACATATCTACTGAAGGGGTATGTCGCTCCGACCATAGGCATGGAAAAGAAAACAGAGTCAATCTTGATCCCAATGCATGCACCATTGGACCCTTCCCAAAGAAGGCCAGCAAAGGGGTTTTTCGCTCGGGCCATGACAAGCTCCAAGGCTGCGTCAGACCTAGGCTGACTGACTTGGGAACAAGACAGCCGTGCCACTGTCATGCCGGTCTTGAGGGAGGTCTCGACACGGTGCCCGTGGCTCGGGGGGTCTCGATGCTTGGACCACGTCTCCATCTCCCTGACACCAAGTCAACCCGGGGAAAGTGGGAGTTGCAAAGAATTGGTCAGAAATATACGGAATAAAAGCTTACCAACCTTGATGTGAATGTATCGGCCTGATCCAAGATCATCTGCATTCAGCAATGCAGCTACTCAGAATTGGACATCTCTGAAGCATGGATGTCAAGACTTGGTCAAGCGATTGTTGCTCCGCTATTGATCAACAGCACCATCAGTCTTCGGGTTCCACTCATCTGTAATTGCAGTCCCTCTTCTTTATCCTGCCTTTGCTAAGAACGCCCAATCAAGCACAGAACAAAAGAACCTTCAAACATGTTCAACCGATTCGACCTCAACCTTCTTCACCTCGGACCTCACGGTCAGGCAACCCGGCGGCGAGTAAATCATGTTCAGAGCTCCGGCCTCGGCGCCGGCAGTTCTCCGGGTGCAACGGCAACGGGCCGTCTTGGGATGGAAGTCAAGAAAGGTTCCTGGACATCTTTGCTCAAGCCCCTACAAGAAGCTACTAGGAACAAGTGCCACGCTAGTAGTAACAGGTGCTGCCTTACTAGTAACAATGTTTGCTATTAGAATTAAATGGAAGTGGAGTGAGAACCACCTGGTTTGGTCTTCCGGCGTCTTGGGATGTCATCCCAAAATCGGGGCGCCAGTTGCTTCGAACTCGACCGAACCTCGACCTCGCTTCCCTTGCTTTCGGTTTCTCCGGGAGGATCTCCGAATCGGCATTTGTCGGTTTCAGGAAATGAAAAGACAGCTCCAGGTTGACATGGTGTGTTAAACCCTTTGAACCTTCGCCCCCCACCCTGTACCCGCACTCTGACGGGCTTCAGGCTCGTTTGTTGAAGCCCAAGCGGACTTTGGGAAATGGAGCCTCGCAATACTTCACCTGACAAGCAGCGTTTCGCTGAACTAGACCGCAGCTTCGGATCCGAAACGGCGGAGACCAGTTCAGGATCCATGATTCTGAGACTAAGGAAGGTTCAAAAAGACATGGATTTTTGTACACAGGGATTTAGACACACGTAGAGCCTATTCAAGGTTCACATGATTTCCTGATCAAGATGCATAGTTTTCAAGCAAGCACATCTAGCAGTGAAACAAACACAAGGTGTTGAATATCTTCCCAAACATGAATGATGTGGGCTTACCCTTCGATTCTCTCTTCAAACAAGTTGTCTTAGCATGCATGCTGTTTCCATACGAGTATTTCCAAAAAAAATGACAACCTTCGTTGACCGGTCAGTTAACGCCTTCTCATTCCAAGCTGAGAACACAGATCTTGTTCCACAGGATTCCAGAAGCAAAACAAGAGCCTCCAATATTGTGTTCAAGAAAAGGAACACCATTAGTAGATGTTGAACTTTGGAATAATACAACTCTAGGATTTCCTGCGTTCACAAACAAGAGTTCGTGCGGTTTGAAAAGGCCGAATTTCAATTGCACCCATGCAAAACCTGGAAATGTGTATTTCATGAATGCGTTTCCTTACGGCAGAAACAACCGGACCTTCCAGATATGCCGTGTTTCGATCCATATGTTGGTTTTCCAAACCAAAATTACCACATGCTTTTGACAGAAATACACCATATTTACCTTGCGCTGTGCTATACCTCCCAAAAAATTCAACACACGGTCGGCTGACCCTTTGCTATACAGGGACATATTGTTCACCAGCCTGGATCGTTTGGAAATTGGTCGTTTCACGGCCGAACCTCCTCGGCATCAAAGAGGACGGAGGGCATGTTTCAGAACAACTGCGTTGTATCCAGCAGGTTTGAAGCCAACACAGCTGCATTGCAAAAGCTGATAGTTGGGCCGCACATAACGAAGTAGATGTTGACAAAAGTTCCAACTCTTTCAACCATTCCCATCAAAATCAAAAAAACTGTTCAGTTTTGGAGGATCCGCGATGCTGCTGGAGATGCAATTTGAAGACCTGGACATTTGTTTGTGTGTTTATGTCTGTGTGTGAAATCCATGGAATCACTGGAGGCCTTTTGTTTTGCTTGCAGCGCACCTGAAGCAAAGATTGGGAACCTTCCAACGCAAACACCCATCTTTTGCTTCCGAAATCGACGAAAAACGCCCTGTCAACGCACCTGTTTTCTTTGTGACGTTGGTGCCACGATCTTGTCTGAAAAACATACTGATCAGGTGATTTGGAGGTCGGTCAATGTCGTCATTTCGATTCTGTGACACTTTGGACCTTGCAACTACACTCTACAACTTGGATGCAATGGAAGAACCCCAAAACCAAGACTGTGAGCCAGCTGACGTGGTGCCTTCCTTCCAGTCAAGCCAATGCGCAAAGCAGACGCAAGAGTCTTGTGACAAACATTGACAAAGACCAGCCACAGATTTCATGCTACGGATCTGCCAGATCCACAGCGGGCGTGCAGCAATTTTGGAGTTGTTAACTTCTGGGCCTTGCATCAACACCTTGCAAGTGCGATGAGATGCCCAATACGCTGAGTCAAGACGTGGAACCTGATTTGCCTTTTGTTGACATTGTGGATCCTCTGGACGTGGAACTTGATGTGATCTTGTGAAGTTGTGAGGGTTAGTGATCTTGTCAGCGTTGTGCCTGATGGTGGAGTGCACTTTGTTTTGTCTGGATGGTGCTTTTGACTGTTGTGATTTTTGGTGCTGTTAAAAAAAGAGACAACATCTCACGAGTTTGTCTGGCCTCTGTCGTGCTTGTGCTGCTGTCACAGCTGGACTTGTCCATAGCTCTCAAAACGGATCAAAAACCCCACAAATCTCTCGCAGCGTTGGCTGCTTCTGCTTAGCGTGTGTGTTTGCAGCAGTTGCTGTTTCCATGCCCTGCTGTTCCAACCATCATGAACAGCATCATCACTTGATGGAAACGCTGACTTGGAGGACCCTGCGGACAAACGAAGAACCAAACATTCTTTGGCTGGAACAAAAGGCTGCTCGAAAGTTTGAATTTTGTGGAAAAGAATGTTTTCTGGCAAACGTTCTGAACACAAAGCGAAAAGCACGTGCAACAGCTCACAAACAAAGCAAAAAGCACACTTTCACGCACACCTTGCTTCCAAACAATTTCCATGCAAAGACACTGAAGCGTCGAGCACAAAAACTGCAAAGACTTCTCTTCACCAGACATTCTGAAAGCTCCGTCAGGAACCTTGCTCAAAACACTTGAAATGCAAAAACCCTGAGCACATACAACTGCGTTGCAAAAGCTTGGCATTCACTTCCCTCCATGGCTGTGACGTTCACTGGAGGTGCAGGCAGATTTGGTCACTAGACGTGCTTTGCAAGCAGATTTGGTCACTGGAGGTGCTTTGCAAGCAGATGTGGTCAGGAGAGGTGCTGCAGGATTTGGGACAAAAGAGGTGCTCTGCAAGCAGACTTGGTCACTAGAGCTGCTTTCCAAGCAGATTTCATCACTGAAGGTGCTTAGCATGCAGATATGGTCACTGGAGGGGCTTTGCAAGCTCCGTTGATCGTCACGAGATTTGCAAAAGACTTGACTTGCACGAATGTCACTCCAAAACAACTTCAAATCACAACCATCCAGCACACTCAAAGTTGCTTGCATGGCAGCGGATACAAGCAGTCAGCAGGGACAGCAAGCTTGAACGAGAAAAAATGGAAATTGCATTCATTCTGAATCCAGACCTTCCATGGCTCTGCCAACAAGATTCTCTGCATGCAAAAACTTCAGACTCATCATAAAACGATTCACAGTGCTGCGTCCAACGAGCTGAAGCCCACGCCAACATTTGATCACATAAAGGAAGATGATCTGTCCTTCCGCAGAAAGATGAGCAAATCTTGAGGGCTTTTCAGGTTCAGCCAGAGTGACATGTGTGGTCGCCAGGGTGTGAGCTGCCCAACCTGCAGCCGAAGCTCTGACAGCAGCATCTTAGATTGGCGGTTCCGAGAGGGCACGGAAAAGGTCATCTCCAAACAAACAAGAGCAGAGCATTGCACCATTGTCTCCACAACAGTCTGACAGGAATGGAAGAAGGAAGAGGCGGAAAAGGTGCGAACGGAAAACGAGAAAGAGGGAGTGAATAGAGAGGAACCTATGATCTTCCACGCAGGCACCGGCACAGCAGATCGTCGAGGCTGGGCCCGGGACCTTCGGCGAAGAGGGGCTTAAGCCCCCCCTTAAGCCCCTACGAAGGTCCCCCCCTTTACCCCCCCCCCCCCCCCCCGTGTGTTTGTAGTGCCCCCTAGGTCCCCTAGGCGTGTCTACGCTATACATGTGTAGCACCTGTTTTTTTAGATAGACTTGTATGTAGTTCTTCGGTCCGCTATCGACCTAATTCATTTGGCTCAAGGCTCAACATCATTGAAGCCCAATACCTGCATCCGCACCCATAGAAAAGGTGTGCTTCGTCGTTGCCTCGAGAAACGTCGATCCACGTGGCCTCACTTGGTGTTTCGATCAGGTCCAGTAAAGCTGCTGCCACTTCTGGGGGACCCAACTTTCTCAACGTCTCGATACCAAGACCAAGAATCGGCCTTGGACAGATTTCTGGTTCCTAGCCCCTTTCTTGACACCACACAGCTATTTGCACGAGTTCATGGTAGATATCGGATTGACACATGCCACCATAAAGCTCTGGTGCTCAGGCTGAAGATGAAACCACGCCTACGTCCGCATCCGCAGTCAGAGAAACATCACACGATTCCGACCCAAGTCTTTTTAGACCCCACCGCCGCAATTGATGATCAACAAAGCTTGGCAAGACAAGCAGCGTTACATGCCCTCAAGCGAAAAGTCTCCCTAGCCCAGGAAGCCAGACCGGCTTGTGTGTCGCTTTCACAGCATTGCCGAGCCATCGTATGGAGCTGGTGGCGGAGTCACTCCAGTCACTTTAAACGAATTTCTCCTCTCAAGCGTTTGTATAAGCTTTTAGGCAAGGAACAAACTTGCTTACACATTAGACAAGAGGAGCTGCGTCAATTGTATGAGCAAAGTGCATTTCCAGAACTCCTGCAGTCTTGGGACGTCAATCCTATCCAACGCGCACGCAGGCAACGATTGTTCTGGGATAGGCACAATGGGCAGGAGTGTCGCACGGCGTCTGAATATGACGAGGCCATGCTTGCCACTCGAGACTTCTGGTTCTGTCACCCAGTTGAATATGATACTGCATGGCATAGTACGCTTTCGGCTTACCGACGGTGTACAACTCCGTGGCCACCTATCCCAGAGCCCACAACCCAGGATTATCTGGAACACCTTCTACAAACAAAGGACTCTGCACCAGGACCAGATGGCTTGCCTTATGCCCTTTGGCGCGTCTTCCCACACCAAACTGCAGTCTTCCTGCACGATGATTTTTGTCATATGCTGTCGTGCACTCTTCCACCCCCCACGCAGGTAGGGGTATGGATCCCAAAAGCGAAGCAAGGGCCCACAGCGGATTTTTTTAGACCGCTTGGCATGCCGGATACGCTTGAGAGATTGCAGGATGGCACGGCAGCTGCCATCCTCTTTCAGACAACTCGTCACAGGTTCCATCCTGCTCAAACCCTATTAAATGCGTTTCGAGAACAAAAGAGAGCAGTGTTAGAAGTTCAAAGTGCACTCGAAGGCTCCACGCCTGCCTCCGCGCTTTTTGCTGATCTCTCCAAAGCCTTTGAACGCATAAATGCACATTGGATCCTACATATTTTGTACATACGGCAGTGCTCTCCATGGGTCCTCCAGCTCGCGCGCTATCTTCTTTTTGGGAGACGTATCCGGCATAAAGTTCAAGGGCGTCTTTTGCCTGCACGAGAAGTCCACTCCGGAGTTGACATGGGGCGGTCCACTTCTGTATACTTCTTTTGCCTTGCCATGGACCCAATCTTTGTAGCGTTACACCAAATTCCGCGAGTCTTGGTTGTAGCAGGCTATGTTGATGACACCACCATTGTTGGTCTTCAAAACGACTCCCAATGGATTGCTGAAGTCTTTGGCTACATCAAAGCTTGGAAAACTGCTGGTGTTGTGATGGATGTGCACAATTGCTGGCAGGTTGGTTTCTCCGAAAAAGCCCTTCCCGAAGGATGCCTGTTGAAGGCCACGGATGTCTGGGAACATGTCACCCCCCTTCACGATGAAGGACAGGGCACGTGTAGCGCGTCTCTCAGATATGTTCCCAGTTACGCGCAGTCCTTTGTCCTTTGACACGGTGACCACTGCATCCTCATGTCCTCCAGAGGAGTTCCCACCCTGCCTCACTCCCTGCAGTTGTCGGTCCAAAACCCAACTGCTAACTAACACAGCATATTCTTCCAGTCAGCTGTACCAGCCTGTGCATCGTCCCATCAACAGTCAATCTTGGCCTGACGTTGCACACAGGCTGGAATGTCTTCTCAACCGAGAATCCATGGAAAAAGTCCAGATCCAGACTTCAATGCACTCCCTCTTGTCCAAACAGCTTGCTAAGTTTCGTACAAGGCTAGCGGCTGCAGTCAAGGCCAACCTCAGCATACATGCCAAGATCATTAATTTCAATACTTTCTCGCTCAGCCTTTTCTACTATGCGCAAACCCATCGGTATTTTGCTCCTCCGTTGCTGAAGCCACTTTATCAATCAATGGCCAAGTTTCTTCTCCGGCGCCATTGGTTCCCTCAACGGATGCTGGTTGGCCTTTGTCGCTGGTTTTAGATTGGCCCTGACCCAGCTATCATGCATGCAAGAAGCACAACGAAACCAACAACAAAACCCCCCAAACCAAAAGCAGGTGAAACACAAAGGAGTGTTCGACTGTCTACTCGGCCTTGAATTCACGAAATTTGTCAGTGATCTGCTGTTCTCACT